GGGGGGGGGGGGGGTTGGGGCTGAAGGGGCCCTATGAGCTCCTCACACCCACCATCTTCTAAAAGACAGATCTTTCCCAAGGCCTCTGCCCCTTCCTCCGCAATGCAATGACATTTGTCCTGCTGTGTTCCCAACCCCACTATACTGCTGCCCCAACAGTGTCCACGACCTCCATACAGATGACATTTCTAGGAGTTGTTGTAAATCCTGAACTCTTCAAAACTGCCTATGCAAAAACTTCTTCTCTCAAATGCACCCTAATCCAGGCTGGGACCCTCACGCACAACACACAGCATCAGACAGAAACTAACTTGGCACCACTACCGTAACCAAACTGTGCATTAGTTTTCTTCTGTCATGGTGTCCCACTGATTCTGAAGCAGAGATCTGCTTAAGGAAAAAAAAAAAAAGAAGCCCCAAACTCAATGGCATGATACGCTATAGCCTTTGACTGCCATTCACCACAGCTGTTCATAAATCTCTCATCTAATCCAAATAACAAACATTTAAACTCAACAGTGGGTACAGGGTTGATGTGCTTGGTCCACTGCTGACCAATACGCTCTCACTGTTTCCCTGTACTCTGCTGTCTGTTATCTCTTGTCCCATACTTGGATTGCAAGCCGTCTGGGGTAGGGACTAACTTTTTGTTCTGTGTTTGTACAGCACCTGGCACATGACAGGGCCTGCTATGTGGCACAAAAACACAGACAAGAACCTCCCCAAGCCTTCTAAAAGCCATTTCTGATGAAGAACCACATGGCAAAAAAAAAAAAAACAAGGGCAAGCAGAAGAGGAGGAGTGGCAGGGGGGAAAATAGGTAACAAAACTGAGTGTACGTACCATCCATCAAAGACCAGATCTGGATAGCTCCCACAACCAATTAGCTCTTTATGAAAGCTCTTGAGCATTGAGACTGAGGTTACTGTGCTGATAACAAAGCTACGGAAGGAACAAACTCAAATGGCAAGTCCTATTACTAAGCTGGCATTTGCAGCTAAATAAACCGTCCGTACATGTATTCTTCACTGACTTGGAACAATGTCATATCTAGATTTCAATTGAACAGACAACCCTGATGTAACAAAGCCAGCCCGGCTCCAGAACCTTTGATGCATCTTCAATTGACAAAGCAGGATGTTTAAAACCTGTGAAGGTTGTGGCAAAAGTCGACAAAAGCTGAGAAACTGAAAGCAAAGGTTGACACTCAATACATGGCTCATGCAGCTGTGAAAAGAAAGCACAGCTGTGAGATTCGGGCACAAAGCGTCAGTCTTCACTTTGATTTCCTAGCTTTTGTCAACTCAGCTTGGCCTTCACCAGTTTTAAATAGCGGGAGCATCTGTGTGTGTACTGCTCTTTTAAACACCAAGTTTGTTCTTTAAATAAAAAAACCCTATGCCACAAAAGGACGCCAGATTGCACAGAATAGACTGTAAGAGTTTCACGAGAGCCATGATGATCTATTAGGTAAGTTCATGCTAGGACACTTCAAGAAAAGGTGGATTTTGCACACAACCCAGCAGCGTGAGCAACCTTCCCATCTGCTTTATTAGCCTCTCTGTTGTCCCGTCACATAGCCCATGGAACAAGCGGTGACAGTCTAGAACATCAATCCAACTGTGGCCCAAGCTGAGCCTAAAACTAAAAACGAGCTTGTATTTGTAAAGGACAAATATCTGAACCACAGCCGATTAAAGATCACAGTATCTTGGCTGAGTTATTTTGCCAGCTGTTCAACTTAAATTGTAAATGAGCAAGACAGGAAGGCCACACTAATGATGAACCAGTGCTCACCACATCTCAACACCTAAAATAAATGGCACAAGGTCCAGAAATGTTGAGAAGTAGCAGTGTGCACTAATGTCAATGAGTACTAAAGCATCACTGCCTATCAGGCCATTCAAAGCCAGGCCATGAACCCCTCATTCACATTTAATCAGTTGCTCTAAAGAAGCAATTCACAAATTATAGATGAAAGCTGGCATGAATCATTACTGTTCCTCTGAAGCCATCAGTTGATATGACCTCACAAGCTTCAAAATTAAAGGGTACATTTTTTAAACTTGAGAAAAATGTATTCCCTGTTCCTTTGCCTGCTGAACTCTCTTTCTACAGCTGAGCAAGGTTTGTTACAAACAGTTGAACCATCCTCTAAAAAAAACAAAAAAAACAATCACTTCCAGCAGAGACCCGTGTCTGTTTTCTAGAATGAGTTTTAGTCTGATACCACGACACATTTTCTTACCTGGCTGCATGCTGGAAGCACTGCCACCAATTTAAGTTACTGTAAGTTGAAGGGTGGTAGGCAACCAAGAGAGCCCGTGGCCAACATCTCACGAGCACGGAAATGGCATTCTAAGATGAATGTTCACGTGGCTAATTTTCAGCCATCTACTGCAAGATTATTAAAGAAAGATGCTCTTCCTGACAATTACAATGAAGACAATGCACATGCCTTCACTGAATAACTGCAGAAAACAGTGCTTCAGCCTCCAACAGCTGCTTGATCTCTGAAAGCTACTGCTATAAGAGATGCATTAACATGCCACAGCCATCAATACCACCTCACACTGTTTTAAGTCAGGGAGATGCATTACCTGTGTGATTACTTAGGAGAAACAACTGCTTTAAAATGCATCTCCACTGATAAAATTTCCCATGTGCAACAGAGCACTGGCTTATAAATCTGCCTCGATTGCCTACATCAATGTCAACGTCAATGGCTGTGCTTCTCTGCAAGTGCAACAATGATCCAAGTCCATCTTTCCTAAGCCACAGGTCAAATGATATGATGAGAAAGCCAAACCTGCTGTGCTTAAATACCAATACTCAAATAGCACTGCTGACTTGAAACTGCTCTTAGCACTTTTGTCAGCCTCCCAAAGCAGACTATTCCCACTTAGAAGCCTGAAAACAACATTTTGCCTTTTCTACTGGGCGCACACTGATTTTCCTTCTCGTCTGCACTCCAGCCATGGGAATAGGTAGGTCTGAAAATAAAAAGGACCCGTTATTTGCTGCTATGGCACATCAGCCTGCATGATGTGTGCGCGCACGTGCTACAAAACGAAGCATGCCTCTTCCCTTCAAAAAATTTATAGTGATTAAGTGACAGGGTCCCCCCCACCCTGTCCTCCCTCTTCAACATTATGCTCTGCCCAAAGCTCTTGGTGACTCGCAAAGAATCTATATTTTGCCTGAAGGAATCCAACATATTTTCTTGCCTTCTCTCCTTTCTCTTTACCAAAGAACAGCTCAAATCTTTGAAAGAAGAATCAGACTAGAACAGAAGAAGTGGACTGAACTAACAGGCAACTGTTATAGTTCCAAAAGCGCAGAAAGGTTAGCAGACCAACCTAAGAGTCCCAAAGCACCAACTGACAGGATCCAAGTGAACTCTGCTCCAAGCCCTGCTGCTGGTGCTCTTTACTTATTAAATAGTGGTGGGGAAAGGGGAAGAAGCATGCAAATTGATCAGAAACCAACCAGGCAAGGAAAAACACCCCCCAACACCACCCCACCCCCAGCAATGAGTTTTTTTCAACACCCTCCAGAAAACTCTGACTCTCTATATAGAAAATGCCCTGATTAGTACTGGTAGAAGAAGAATGCAGCAGAAAGAAAAAAAAAATGTTTTTGTATAATTGCCAGAGTTAAATCCACTACTTTCAATCTGGCTGATGGATCATTCTCTGCTTACTACTCTCAGTAATTTAATATATATAAGCACTTTATTGGCAAGCTACTTGAACAT